CAAATCTCAAAATACGCTATAAAGCAATTTTCAAAACTGCCTTTCAGTTAAAAACATAGAAAGTAAATCATTGAAATGGATTAAATAGTCAGTAATTAGAACCAAATATGTACAGCAATCTAATGTTCAGAAAAAATGGAAATTACAAATTAATAAAGTGGTAATAACAAAGAGCCAGTATGGCTTTACCAAGAACAAGTCGTGCTGAACTAAATAAAGTTCCTTTTTTTTTTTTTTAAAGGGATCTCTAAATGAGGGGAAGCAGGAGTAATTTACCTATGTATTGCCAAAGCAGTTGACTAAATTTTATCATGTTATACCTCTAAAGTAGATAAATATATATGAACTTTTTTTTTTATAATTCACGTGGATTTGGAACTGTCTGAATAGTCAAGGCCTAAAGAGTAGTCGGCCCTGAAATGATTTGGTATCAGTTTGAAAGGAGGTTTCCTGATAAAATGTGTATCAATCTTTCAGATGACATTGAGCCGGGAGGTCAAATGAGAGAATATATGTTAGAATATGCAAGTACGTTATAAACATTAAATAACTATGTAACTGTCAGGGGCTATTATTATTAGCTGTTGAGAAGACTAGCACACAAAATCAGCTAGGTGGCCAGTGGACAGAGGGCTGGAGATCAGGAAGACCTTAGTTCAAATTTGGCCTTAGTAGCTGTGTGACCCTAGGTAAGTCATTTAACCTCTATTTGCCAGTTTCTTCAACTATAAAATGGGGATAAGAATAGTACCTACAACAAGGTTGTTGTAAGGATCAAGTAAGATAATATTTGTAAGATGCTTAGTAAGTGCTTATTCCCTCCTCTTCTCCACCTGGATAACAAAAGCAAGGTTCAATAAGATCTTGATGGTCTAGAACATTGAGCCCAACCAGATGAAATTTAATAGGGATAAATGTAAAGTATGCATCTAGGGGTTTTAGTGGACCACAGCTTCCACATGCATATAATGTGGCAACCAAGGAAGCCGAAGTGATCTCTCCCTGAGTTGAGAGGCATTGTGTCCAGGAGGAAGAGGAAGGAGATAGTTCTCTGCCCTGATCAGGTCACCTCTAGAGTACTTAATACCACCTTTTAGGAAAAACATAAAGAAGCTAGAATAAGTCCAGAAGAGTATAGCTGAGGATGATAAGAGCCCTGCAAAGCAGGACACATAAGGATTAGATAAGGGATTTGCCCATAGTCACAAAGCAAGTTATCACATGGGATTTGAACCTAGAGTTTCCTAACTCCAAGTTCAGCACTCTGTCTGTTGTATCATATTGCTTCTTTGCAAAGGTGATAAAAGGGAGGACCTTGAGAAAACAGGTCTCCTAATTCTGCTTGGCCCTGGAGGCCAGCCCTCGAAACAATTTGTGGTAATTCCAGCAACACAGATTGAGGTACAAGGTAGGTTGTTACCTTCCTAATGGAGCTGTGAAGGATGGAATAGCCTAGAGAGGCACTTGACAGTTGCACATAGCTTGCCCTTCCTTTAATAAATAGTAGAAGTATACATTTGCATATACAATCATTTATAAGGACTTTTTCATTGTTTTACATAACTATTTTGAGGATTAGAGTTTAGGGGGTTTTGCCTCTTTTGCTAAAAAAAAAAAATTAAAAGACCAAAGCCTATATCTTTTAGTGCTGGCTTCAGTGCTTTTTCTACTACATGTTGCTGAACAAATAAATAGCTTTTATGTATAGTAGGAGACATTGCACCAAATAGTTACTGACCTCCAAAGATACCCTGGAATTTGTTTTCTTGGAAAATGTTCTGGGTATCAAATTGCTTTAAGGCATTTTATGTCTTTCTCAGAAAGATGGTATAAAGGATAGACATCATTCCCATAAAAATCAGTAAATCAGAAATCAAAGCAAACATCTTCCAAATGATGTTCTTTTCATCTAGAATTTTTTCTTTACTAATGTGATTGGTGCTTTGATACTAGCCAGCACCACCTAAAGTGTTGTCATTGATTTCTAACTCACCAGTACAACACGCATGGGTATTTCTTTGGCAGATTGCTCTTTGTTAACTTTCTCATTTGCACAATTTGCTAATGAAGTAGGAAGGAGGTGTATTTTTACAAAACTTCACTAATTATTGCTTGTATGCTTGGGGAAGACCTTATCACCAATCCTACAAGTTCATTATTATGAGATGACACTTCTGGAAACGTGGCATTCTTGCCACATTAGGTCACTGTGTTCTCTTAATTCTAATTAATGCTTGTCTTTTAACAGAATTCCAGTCACAGACATTAATAGTTTTATCTTTAATATTATAAAGTCCTGTAGCATGATGTGGCATAACGAAGCCGCTTTCTCATGAAAACTATTCTGTGACATTTCATATTCAGAGTAACACTCCAGACCAGGTCTTCTTAAACTGTGGTCACAACTCCATATGGGGTTGCAAAAAATTTGGCAACAGTAAAATATTTCTGAACATGCAACGACCAAAAATTAATTCAAAGTCAAACGCATAATGAATCCGAAGTGTTTCTGGTAGCACTTGCCTACGTGGCATCTCTCAACTTTCAGAACACAAAGCAAGTGCACTTTGAGCTGCACATGCCCTGGGGCCTTGCAACACCAACAACGGCTGCTGAAACATGAAAAGGTCACGTACTAGGCCCTGCTCTAGAACAGGGCTTCTTAAACTTTTTCCACTTGCAGCCCCATCAGTGCTTCTTAAGCTATAGGTCGTGACCCCATATGCCTAGACCCTAAAGTCAATTAAGGAAGTATTATTTGAATCAGGAAGATGGTAAAAATGTTATCAGACTCTAAACCCTGCTCCTTGGTCCTGTAATTGGTTAGCAGTTTTCTTCCCCTGGTAAGCCTCCAATGGCATCACCTCCCTGATGTCATGGTCCTCTTTGGGAACAAAGGACAAACAACAACAGTCTTTCACCAAAATATGCATAATGATGATTGAATCCAATCACCAAAAGATTGCATTTTATGGGAGCCTGTAATATTAACAAAGTGGGAGAACTGACAACCTTTTCTTACTCTGTTTAAGCCAGGAGACATTTGATTCACCAGCACCAGCCAAAGTAGAATATGTCAAACTTTACAAAAGTGGACCAATTTTGTCAATGCTGTAAAATTGCCCGGTGACTAGAATGGGCTCAGAAATTAATTTTCTAGAAAAGCCACAATTTTTCTGAAGCTTCGTGGTTTGTTCTCAGAGGGAGATGGAATTTCTTGTTGGAAGGATAGCAAGGAAGCTGATGTCATTGGATTACTGAATCCACAGAAGGTGGGAGGAATAAGATGTAAAAAGACTGCAAAAGTGAGGTTCGGGGGCAGGTTATAAAGGTCTTTGAACAACAGAGTATTTTATATTTTATCCTGGAGGAGATGGGGAATCACTGGTGTTTATTGAGTAGGGGGGTAACATGGTCAGACCTGTGCTTAAGGCTGATTAAGACTGGACCACAGTGCAGAGAGACTTGAGGTGAGCAGACCTAGCCTGCTGGCTACTGCAGTAGTCCAGGTGTGAGGTGATGAGGGCCTGCCCCCCATTCTGTTTAAAGGAGAAGAACACTATAGACTGAGGGACCCTAGCTGCTAAGGCAAATAAGATAATCTTTTAAGATTCAGTCATTCAAAAGCATTCAAAGTGTTTATGTGCCAGGGACTGGGCAAAGACGAGAGCAAAACTGCCCCTGCCCCAGGAAGCTTTCATCACCTTTAGCTCCAGGTTTCCTAGAATTCTTCTCTTTGCCCTTTCCCACTCAGTTCACTTTCTCATCAGTTGTCTTACCAGTTACAGCACACAGGAGCAATCTTCAGCTTTTCTCTGCTTGTTGCACCATTGCTGGCTGTGGAGTTTTTTTCTTCATCTGAATTTTGAAGTGTTCTGGATAGTGAGTTTGTTTGAGGTCTGATCTTTAGATAGCAGAGGTCTTAACCATACTAGGATATTAGTTATATCTAATTTGAAACACTGTACAGAGTTCTGATTGCGCTTCAGTTATTTTTAAGACTGGAATTGGAAGTTCCTAATTGGTTTGTTGAATAGCAGGCACCTAAGATAAACACAGTCTTTACATGTGAAAATAAAAAGGGTAAAAAAATAAAAAATCCTACTGTAGGACTAGACTAATAATAAGATCAATGTACTCATTGTAAGGCAAAATGCTCTGGTACCAGGAAAATTACCTGGGGTTGGGTTTGACTTAGAGATTTTTTTTATTTATTAAAGGTAATAATTGCTACAAATGAAAATTCAATTAGAATTAATAAATAGGTAAATCTAAAAATTTGGAAGTGCAATAATAATTAGTGAAATTCTCTCATAAAGACACTGGCAAACACAAAGATTGGGAGTGTGATGTTGCTAGAGAGAACAAACTTCTCAAGAAAGTGTTTTTAAAGTGTAAATGAAGGCTTTAAAATGTGTGGGTTTTTTAAAGGTAACCGAAAAGAAAGTGATGGTAGCTTTATGCTCTTACTTTTTTTTTTAGAGGACAATATACATATACATTATTTATCATTGTGTTTTTCCCTGCTGTGAATCCATGATATGGGTTTGAATGAATCTTCCCGGAATATATTTACATTGAGTTCATAGACCAAATTATATAATTAATGTAATAAGAAAACTTCCAGTTTCTGCCAAATTAGGAATATGTTACTTAAGGAATGGAGATTTAATGATAATATTAATTTATAGTTTGATTAATGCCTGTTCACATAGGCTTCAACTTCATTCTGTCCCTATGAGAATAGGCACTGATTGTCCTAATGTGTTTGTGTGAAGTAATGCAGCTGTTCGGCCATCAGTTTTAGAAATAAAAGCTGTCTCGAATTTTTTTTCCTTTTCCTCTTGTACTCCAAGTTTACACTAGGTGGCATACAAGGAAAGCTGAAAACATAGAAAGTTGATGCTGTTGACTTGGAATACTTTAACAATAACTGTGTTAAAACAGGTTTTTATGTTAAGTTGCTATTTTATCCTTTGATTGTTTTGATGTTTTTGTAGGATGAAGTGTCCTCTTGCTGGCACAAATAAAAGATTTCTGCTTAATACAATTAAGAACACATTACCCTCGCAGAAGGAGCAGGACCAAGAGCAGAAGGAAGACAATAAGGAACCTGAGCCAAGTCAGAACCGCAAAGAAGAAAACCCAAAGAAACACAGAACTCATCCATACAGACACAACGTCCAGTCTCGGAGAAGAGTTAGTTATTCTCCTCCAAGGAAGCGGAACACCCAGGAAAAGTATGAAAAGCAATCTAACAAACGATGAGGCAGGCACTGAAGAATAGGCAAGACTGTTACAAGCAATGAATGTCATTAAATTTTGGACTGGGAAAGTGTTTAGCTTTCTTTAAATGGAGAAGGTTGTTTAGTGCAGGTCTTTAGTTAGCAGGGAAGACAGCTAAGAAAAACATTATCGTAGATAGATATTTTGTTGTGGTTTTTAAAGAGTCTTTTGGTCATAAACAAAAGTGACTTAGTAATTCTTCCTTCTGAAAAGTAATCCTAAGGGTAGAAGTCTTGACATGTTTATCATATTTTAATAGTGTGTATACATTTGTTATTGTACCTTCTTTCAAAAGTTAGTTTGGAAATAAACAAATCTAGAGTTAGATTTTAAGTTTTCAGAGATTGTTCAAACTGGTTAAAATATCTGTTGTATATCAATTGTGGTCATTTTTCAGAGTTGAGAGCAAAATTAAAACCTCTTTAGCTCTGTATTTTAGATTTGGGATATCATATTTAGTATATTCAAGAAGCTAAACAGTAGAAATCTTCTGGCTGGGGAATACACCATTTATAAAATCTCCCTCTAGCCTTCAAGGGCTAGAGTTAATCAAGAAATTTGTTAACATCTCTAGCACTTATTTTTGCTTAGATAAACAATGTGGAACATTCTTAAAATGGCTGTGAATTTATTACCTAAAATAAATTAATGGAGATGAAGAATCAATCTCCTTGTTCTTCTTGCAACAAAACTTTGATTTGTATAAAATGCATTTTTTTCCCCCTCACTTTGAGCTTTTCTCCAGGAGACATAAATTGGGAGGAATATAGTTTGGTGCTTTAGAAATAACCCTCATCAACTAAACTTACTGTGCTTTGATTGATGTTGAGGATTTTATTCATTGCTCTTTGGTTTTTTAGCTTAAATCCCCTGGTATAGATATCACAGTGTAAAGTTGTGCCGGAAATCTTCTTTTTGGCAGAAAGTATGTTGGATTTTTTCCCCCATTGTTGTTGTAGGCATTTCTTAATGATAAGATTCTAAATTTCCTAGAGAGTCCCACTCCCACCCTCTACCCCCAACCCCCAAACTCAGGACTATATAACAATGTATTCCTAGAGCACGGAGAAGAGTCTCCCTCTCTCTACTCCCTTCCCAAATTTTCCAAGGCGGCTGGGCTTATGCCTGGCTGCCTCCAGATAATCACTCAGCCACAGCCATACTCCCAGCAGCCAAGAAAAGCTCTTTCTGTGCACTGAAAATCAGCACATTAGAAAGGCCAGCTCTGGAGTGTTGTAGAGGAGCCAGAGAATGCCATGACAAAATTGCTCTGTCTTCCCCAGTGCTACCCCACCACACCCTCTTTGTGTGCCCTAGGCCATGCACCCAAACTTTTCTATGAAGCCCAAGCTCCTGTGTGGTCAGAAGCCTGTGCATAGAACCACTCCAACTAGGAGGATGGGAAAAATATTCCTCATTCTTTCTTTCCCCCTCCTCACACACCCCCCTACAAGTCAAAAAAAGTACAGAGGGAGTCCCTCCATAACTATCCAACAGCTAATTCCCACCCCTGTCATACACAGAAGGAAGAACTGAGGTAAACTTGACTTTATACAAAAGTTGTTATGCTTAAATGATCCTAAGCTTTACATCCGTATTATTTGTGTTAATTTATTTTACTTTTAAATATTTTGTATTTAAATATCTATAGAAACAGGAGACTTAAGAAGTTGAGGTTTTTTGTAAATTCTTGTTTTCAATGAGTAAAAATAAAGTTAAACTGTGTCATTTTTGTGCCATGTGTTTATTACATAAACTTGGGCAGATAAAATATCTTTTTATACCAGATAACTATACTGAAGTCTTTGCATTCACAAATGAAATTACACAGAAGCTATTTTTTTGCCTATTGATAATTGACAATCATTTTAAAATCATATTATAACTTTTAAAAGCCTATAGTATAATCATTGCCTCCTAAAAAAAAACCACAGTTTCTAAAAAATAAAAAAAAGTTTTAAAGCTGCATACAGCCAAAGAGATGGCATAAGGGTTCGTATCTATAGAAGGTTGACATATTAAAATCAGAGTGATATGTGATATCTGTAGACATAGAAAGGTTTTGTGTGGTTTTTATGAAGACTACTTTGCAATTCTGCAGTGACTTTCATCTAAGAAGTTCCATTTATTCCTAAATTCTTTATGCAGTCTGTCAGACAATAGAGATAGACGAGGTGGATTAAACCAATCAAAGAGTGTGTACCTGGTCCCAGAGAGGTTTACCTAAAAACAGAGAGCTGGTATGTACAATGGACTGAATAAATACAGGGCGACAAACAGTTGCTATAACTAGAAGGATAATTGGAGCAGGTGAAATTTTTTGTGCCCTCCAAACATTTGAATTTTAATGTGAGTATTTTATCCTGGCAGCACAGTCCATTTAAGAACTAACTTAACACATTGTCTCTGTGGCCTGTTACAATTTCCCTTCATTGTATCCAGTTCTGTTCCTTTGGGGAAATGCATTCATTTGTGATCTTTTACTCTAGCAGATAAAATGACAGAAGGAAAAAACCTTAAGGAAAATTATAGATGATGGTGAGTTCTATTGGCAAATCCAAATGAGAATCGAAACACTTTCCAAGGCTCATCAGCTGGGGATAAGTTCAGGTTAAAAGGAAGAAGTTGCTTTTCTGCTCTATCCTGTTCCTGGAGGATCCAGGTCTCTCTTCCCCTTTCCTCCTGGGGAGTTACTTCTCCTTAGTTAGCATTTGTTTACAAAGCTTACAGGACAGCTGCTGCTTCAAAGAGATTAAAGATAGCTGCTTCTGTAGCCAACAAATGCCCCCCATAGTTATTTATTAATTTAGGTTTACTTTTTCTGGTTCTGGTCCCTAGTTGCAGTTTCTCTTCCCTGTCATCCTGTGACTGCTACAGGCCCTCCTCCAGTCTGTGAAGCTCGGACCTCAGGTTCCCTTACCCCTCCATTGTACATCAAGGCAGATACCCATAAGGTCCATAGTTGATAGCCAAAGATAGATTCTGAAATTTAATTTGCTAAAATCAAAGTTCCCCAATGTCAATTTCCCATAAAATTCCACACATTCAAAAAATTGCCAAACCTCTCCAGTACCTTAAACTAAGAATTGTTTCTGAATTCTTCAGGAAGTGGACTGCCTTCCAACAGTGATGGTAGGCTCCCTCCTAATAAAAGCACTCTCTGTTCCCAGTTTACTTAATGCCATCCTGATTAAAGACCAGCTTCCTTTCAGTCAAAACTGTCCCCCAGGGTTTTGTTCTATACCCTTTCTTCCCTGACAACACCTGCCCTAGTGGTCTCATCTATCCCTATAGCCCAACGAGTCTTAGATTTACCACTGAACTCCTGACTTTTCCTCTTTTTTCAGCCTGTTAAGTATTACAACCAAAAGGACAAACCTGACCTTATGCAGTAAATATAGTTCCTGAAAATTGTCTGTCAACCCAATTTTACTGCTGACTACTATTAGAAATTCAGAAATGTTTTACCTTCATTTCAGACAGATAGGAAATGACTCCCCTATTTACTCTCTGTCAAGAATTTTGAAGAAACTTGGTAAATTCTTTCAATTTTCAAGTATTGGGTTAACCTGACAGAGTTGTGACAGTTTTAATGGCTTACTAAGCAAGACTTAGGAGGCTGCTAAATTGTCGAGCAGTTAGTCTAAAATCTTGGTAACTGCCACTAGTATTTGAGAATCACAGTGGCCCTGCTGTTAGACATTTCTCCCTAAGTGCTGACCAGCTAAGCCTTTGCTTACAGTATATAATCTGCATATAGTATATAATTTTTATAACATTCAAATAAACAAAAGTCAGTTGTAAAAGACTTCAGAGCTCTGATCAATCAACAGTCAACCAGTATTTATTAAAAACACTACATTCCAGGCGCTGTGTTAGGTGCCAAGGATACAAAGAAAGACAAAAACTGGGTCCTCACCTTTAAGAAATACATTTTAACTAGGGAAACAACATGCAAACTATTATATACATATAAGAAAAATACGGGGCAAATGGGCAGTAATCTCAGAGATAAGAGAGCAGAAAAGGCCTCTCGCAGAAGATAGGAATCTAAACGAAGTCTTGAAGGAAACCAGAAGGCAGGAGTAAGGAGGGAGAACGTTTCCAGGGTGAGGGACCACCATTGCGAAGGAGGGGAGGTGAAAGATGGAATGTGATATGCAATGAACAGTTTTTTTTTTAAAGGCCCAATGTAATTGTTTGGTAGAATATGTGAAAGAGAGTAAGAAGACTGGAAAGGTAGGAAGGAACCAGGTTGTGAATAGCTTTAAAAGCCAAACAGGATTTTTGTATTTGATCCTCGAGTTAACAGGGAACCACTGGAGTTGATTAAGAAGGTAAGGAGAAGGAGGGGAGGTGACATAGACCTTCACTTTAGAAAGTTCACTTGGGCAGCTGAGAGGAGTAGCACCAGTAGCAGCTAGGTGGAACAGTGGTTAGAGATGGTGGGTCTGGAGTGAGGAAGACCTGAATTCAAATTCAGCTTCAAACTAGCTGTATGACCTTCAGCAAGTCAATTAACTTCAGTTTCTTCAGCTGAAAGATATCATAATCTAACTCCCAGGATTGTTGTGAGGATCAAATGAGATAATATTTGTGAAGCTCTTAGTACAGTGCCTGGCACATAGTGGGCACTGTATAAATGCTAGCTATAGTTTATCATTATTATTATTATTATTATTATTATTATTACTCTCTGGAGTGAGGAGAGACTTGAGGCAGGGAGACCAATCCGACACTGACCATTCACAACGCAAAAGACTCATGACAAAACATCTTCGTTTCAGACAAGAGGAGTTGAGTGAGACATACATTTTCAGACATAACCAATGTATTGATATTGTTTTGCTTGGCCGTACACATTGGTCACAAGGGAGGGTTTCTGGAGGGGAGGGCAAAGTGGGGTTAGTGGGTAGCAATAGTGAGGTAAAAAAGAAATTAGCATCAATGAAATATTCAGAAATACACAAAAGAGAACAGAAGGGAACACAGCCCGAGCAGTTTTATTGCTAAACAAATTTAATATACTGCTACAATATAACATAATATATAATAAATGCTAAACAATATATACTTAAATGTAATATAAGTTCACAATTTCAACCCCATTTTTGGTATTTGGGCATTGAAATACCCATGTTTGTTGAATTTTAAGTTCATAATAAAAAAGAAAAGTTTTTAAAAGTTAATTCAGCTGTCTTACTCATTTCTCTCAGTCATAAGATGATTTTACCTTCCTGCAGAGAGGATTAAGGTCTTGCAATTTAAGTGCCTTCATCTTCCCCTTCCCCTCCACCAAACAATTTCTTTATAACTGTACCTTCTTTGCTGCTTTGGAAACTTAGCTAGCTTCCTGTAATCTTCTCCCTTGGCTCCCTTTCTTTAGAAAACATTCAATTCCCCCCATTTTACAGATGAAGAAACTGGCTCAAAAAGTTTGTGGTACACTCAAGCATGTATTGTTATAGGTGTCTGAGGCAGGATTCAAAAACCAAGTCTTCCTGAATCTTAAGTCTACTATAATGCTTTTCAGTAGATACCACTTGTTTCCTCCAAGGTGGAAGAGATCTATCACTCCTTTGTTCTTATGTGTCTCCTTGTGTCTTGCCTCCCCCACTCAATTTCAACTAGACCTTCCTTGAAACTCTTTCCTCTCTTTGCTGTTGTAATGTTACCCTAGCCATGTTCCAATCAAGTCAGATCCAGTTGACAAGGATTTATTAAATGTCTGCTGTGTGCCAAGAACTGTGCTAAGCACTTGGGACATAAAACAAAAAAATCCTTGCCCTGAAGAAGCTCACGTTCTATCGGGGGAGACAACATGCAAAGCACTATGTACAAACAACATATATACAGGATAAATTGGAGATGATAAACAGAAGGAAAACACCAGCACTTAGAGGAATCGGGAAAGACTTCTTGAGATTTCAGCTGGAATTTGAAGTCCAGGAGGTTGAGGGGGAAAAAAAAGGGATAAAAATCCAGACATAGAGGATGGCCAAGGAAAATTCTACATTTCTGAGTAATCCTTCTCTATCTACATTGCTGTCTCCCTTGTGGGCTGCCCTGGGAGATAGTGAGTTTCCTGTCATTGAAAATGCCTTCAAGCTGAAGTTTGATGTTCTCTTATCTCAGAGGCTATAGAGGGTATTCATGGTTTAGGCAGAATTTCGAGTAACCTCTGATATCCCTTCCAACTTGGATTCTATGATGCCTCTTCTCACATCCCTGAAATGGGGACATTCTCCAAGGTCCACTCCTCTCCCTTCTGCTTTTTTCCCTCTATAATCCTTCAAGGATATAATAACTCTTTGTCGTCGTTTCAAAAGAGATGCTTACCAAATCTTCATCTCCCGCCACAGCCTTTCTCTTAAAACTTTTTATTCCATCTATCTGCTACAAAGATCTCTCCTAGCTAAAGGTCTTACTGCTATCTCAATTATAAGAGCCCAGATTCACACAATGTTTTGCCATTTCTCTGCTTCTTTCACAACCCTATGATGTGTGTGGATCTGAAATGGATTGAATGGGCAGAGGCAACGTGGTGTGAATTGGTATCCTGCTAGGTTTGAAGTCAGGAAGACCTGGTGTCAAACCCTCCCTCTGGCAGTTCCTGTGTAATTATAGTGAGCAAGATCTCTTAGCCTCAGTTTCTTCATCTGCAAAGTGAAGGAGTTGAACTGAATGGACCCTTTAGGGTCTAAATCTATAGTTCTAGAAACCAGAGAAAGA